TCTGTGCATCCTCGCGGACTTTGCCCTCCAGCGTGATTGTACGCAGATATTCACGGGTCACTGACAGGTAGAAGATGGCTCCGACCCCGATGGGTCCGAAGAAACCCACAAAGCCAGCTTGAAAGAGATGCTCGATCTGATGAATGTACTTGTGCATAGCGAAAATAATCGGCATCCGGCGAACAAGTAAAATCAGAATGCCCAGGATTATGAGGCGGTAGATTGGAATGATGTCGTTGTTCACGAACGAAGACCACGGACAAACAGCGCCAAACCACATGAATACGGCCAAGTTGAGAAGCATATCAATAGTCGGTTGGAGCGAGTCATCCATCGTTTCCAGGCGAAACCAATCACTGATTGCGTGAGTACAAAGCATACTCGGGTCTGTCGACGGGAACTTACTCCTGAGTGAAGACGTTTCCTGCGACGAAGCAAGCTAAAAGATCGTCGGTCCCAATCATGCCACAGGTTCCGAGGACAAAGAGCTGTACATGATTAGCAATTAAGGTGCTTCGAGGTGCAGCGGTGCCAAACATACTGCAAGCGCGATAGCAAAGACGAGAAAACTCTCGCGGTCAACATAACGCTTCTCCTCGGCCCAATGAAGAAGCTCTCTGGAAACCCAGCCAACGGCGATCCCGTACACGACGCTCAAGATTACTGTATAGACCCATGTTTCGTAGAACCAGAGGCCAATTGCCTTGCCAGCACCTCCACTGTAGCCCTGACCATCCATTCCAATGTATTTCAGGAGGTACAATCCGAAAAAGAGAAATGGGTAACCAAGTCCATCGTTTGCTCCCGACTCGGCAACGATGATTCTCTGCAGAGGACGGGGAACATTTTTGTCCGCGAATTTTCCCTTCACGATGGAGTTGGAGAGAACGGGATCGGTTGGAGTGATGCAGGCACCGACTATCAGCGCGTGGAGGAACTGGAAATTGGGGATCATAGCCCAGATCACCAAGCTGCTACACATCCACATGGCGGCCATTCCTGGACCCAGGAGAAGCGACAGGCTCTTCCATTCTATCTGCAAGTAGCGCTTCGGAAGTTGAATTCCGGCCAGTACCAGCTGGACCCCAAGAACGAGCCTGGTGAAATACAGAGTGATTTCCTCTAGGTTCTGCTCCGAACCTAGAGCATACTCTTTGGGCCTTATGAAATTGGCCGCATGGGGGGAGAAGACAATCCCCGCCAATAGAGAGATTACTGCGTATTGCCCGTCAGTCACAGTGTACTAATTGCAATGCATCTGTTGTCCTAGAAGGAAGGGCATCCCACGAACATGCTTCAGACAAATAAAACCTCTCCTTGAACAAATAGGACACCAATCCGAAGACGGAGATAAACCCGCCCAATGTTGCACAGACGATGTTGAAGTTGATCAGTGAGAGAGTAGGCATGGCTGCTCGTAGCCCCTTGCATGCAGCTTCGACTCTATGCGTTAACTATTGCCTGTCAATCTACCACAAATCGCTAGTCCGGCTTATCGTGCGGAATGCGGCCAAGCGGTGTCACAGCGTGGGCAGGTTTGACAGCAGAAACGTGATAATGATGCTCCAATAAATCAGAAGAGATAGTTGAATCTCATGAATTACCAGCACGTGTTATTCAATCATAGTAATATAAATGAGTTTTCCCACAATCTTCTTCCAAATCATGTAGATGTTTGGCGATAGGCCTGGTATCCGCACTCTGGGACTCAAGTCTACGTGCCTGAACGAGGAAAGATGAAGGACGTTGCAAGCAACCATAAAAGCTCAACCGAGAAGCAGAGGTTTCAGTCCACTCAGGATAAGGAAAAGAGTCGATAGATACGGCTGAGGGGAAGGATTCGAAGAAGAAAACACCCGCCAAGAAAGAGAGTGAGAGTGAGTGGGGAGGAAATAGCAGCGAGCGAATCACATGCTGGAGGAATGGCCGGTGCTGCCCGGTCTCGGAAATACTGGAGTCTGCCATGGCCTATAAGGATGGACTTTGGAGGCATGCCTAAGATAGTTGACAAAGGAGATAGATGGATAGGGCTACATAAAGGATATATGATGTTTTGTCGCATCCTCCCTTCATGGGATGCGGAATGTACATTCAAATATACCCATCAGAACTTCAGATCACAGACATGTTCACAACATGTTTCTCAGATCTACCAGCCTAGAAATCTTCGTCAAGAACCTCATCCGGGATATCTCGTGCTGCTTCCAGAGCTGCTGCTTTCTCCGAAACTCCCCTTCGAGCGCCACTAACTGCAAGACGGTCAGCAGCTTCGTTGCCCGGATCGCGGTTATGTCCCTTGACCCATTCAAATAGAGTCTTGACTTTGAGCTCATTGCGTTCCTCGATCTTGACCAAGATTGACTCGATCAAATCCTTATTCTCGACCGGCTTTTGATCTGCAGTCAACCAGTTATTCTTCCGCCACTTGACAAACCATACAGTCACACAATCTATCGCATAACGACTATCTGTGAAGATGGTGACGTCCCGATGCCGAGGAGCGATGTCCAGAGCTCGAAGAATTGCAGTAAGTTCCGCACGCTGATTAGTCTGCCGGTTGCCTCTTAATGGCTCCGAGACGTTTCTGCTGGGAAGAAGGCGTGTCAGTGGAAATTTTCCGGGTCATTGCAATTTACCGTAGAAACTATGGAGAATGCTGAGGACAAACCTTGTATCTCCGGGCCCAAAGAAGACTCCGACGCCTGCCGCTGCCGTGTCCCTACCGTTCTTCAGCGCACTGCCGTCGGTGTAGATACGCAACATCCCTGGAGGACCAATCGGCCTCGTCTTGGTTGCGGATTTTTGCTCCTTGGTTTTGTAAACCACCTTTCCTGTGGCCGGGTCCAAAAGCACATTGGGATCGAATCCATCCTCCGCGCCTGGCGGTAATGGACCAGTGCCCGGTTCCAAGATGTTCCCCTGCTCGTCCTTCGGTATCTCATCCGTAAGACCTGGCGGTCCGGGCAATGTCTGCGACGTAGCAGTACCTCCGGCAAAGGTAGCTCCCGCTCCCGCTCCCGCTCCCTGCTCCATTCTGACGAATTCCTCCGCCTCTTCTCGCGTGGAGAATTTCTTGTAACGAGGGCGTGCAAACCCTTTGATTTGTTCCTGCGCCCTGGCCCAATCTGTGTATACACCGGGGACGCGTCCTCGCTGGATGCCGTAGAATCTTGTTGGCTCCGAACTCGAAGGAGTAGCACCACGGGCACCTGGGAGCTGCGTCCCTGTAAGGAAAGCATTTGCTTCCTCGTAGGTTGGGAAAGCTTGGACTATTGGACACAATGGGTATTAGCTCAAGCTGCGCGCTTAGCAGGGCAGACAAATCTCTCGGCACTTACAGACCGCCCCCTTGTATCCCGTCACTTGAGTCAAGCAGTCATTCCATTCATAGTAGATGCCAGGCTGATAGCCCGCCTTGACTGCATAAAACTTCCCCGGTGCGCTTCGCTTTCTCTTGGTACCTGCTGTTGCCGAGGCATTGGGCTTGGGACTGGCGGAAGTCTTCGCCGCAGGGCCGGGACTAGGCGAAGGGGTGGTGTTGTTGTTCATCGTGTCGTACAGAGGTCGAGAAGAGGTCGAAAAGAAGCGAGAGGAAATTTCGTTCGAAAGCAGTAAGCTTGAATAGACTCTACTTGGCAGTGCAGCCAAGCTTCGAGGTACAGTGGAGCAGGATCGAGGGACGAGAGTGCTTGATCTGCTGGTCGACGGGAGACACCGGGGCCCCAGCTTTGAAGCCGAGAACTTGAGCCACAAGGTAGGCGTGGTGAATAAGATAAATGCAGAACTGATCACAATGGCATGGATTTTCTTGAGAAGAGGAGCCTTCAACAGATATAAACGAAGGAGGTTGAGGTGAGGGGGCGGAGGGGCCCGACAGTGCAAGAGAGGGGGGGGGTCCGGCTTGATGGTGGAGGTGTTGGGGGGAAGAACTTCCTCTTTCACCCCTCTCTTCTTATTCCCATCTCGAAATCTGAATGACTCGAAGTCTCTGTCAACGTTAAGGCATTAAACTGGGTCGTGAAGTAAGCGGCTTAGAGTATCAGTCCTCTGTCCTCGATTCAAGAGGGCGACGTCGAGGGAAGCTTCTTAAACATTTTTTGGGCCTACATGGACCACCGTGTATCTGCTACTTTCCGCCTCGGGGCGAACATATCAATGGCATAGTCGATCCCAAACACACAAAAACGCAGGAACAGTTAGTTCATGTTAATGACATAGCATACAGCTCATTCACAACTTGGATTACAAACATGATTTCACTATCAACATCCGAAAGGGTGGTTGCACCACTGGCGGCCGCGTATGTTGTATCACGTGACTTTATATTGTCAAACATCGACCAACAAATAATCCAGAGACGCAGTCCAGATGCTGCTGATCTTACATATAATGGTACTGACATTGGACGGAATATGATGTACCGCTTATTGGTTGCCTCTACCGGCTGTCCTAGCTTGCCGGGATATACAGAGGACGTATATAACAGCTACTCAATGATGCTACTCGGTGATATAGATCTCATAAGCAAAATATCTTCTAGTATGGACGGATACAGAAGGTTATCTATCCGGACGACCATCGTAATTCACATTATGGGAAAGGGTGTGATCGTAGTCCCCTTGTCTGTAAGTCTCTTTATGTTTCTCCCAACGTGAGCCCTAAAGGATCTGTATGTCGTTGCGCATCGCCGAGACGACTAGCACGCCTTCACACACACGAAAACGAAATGCATCTTTTCCGTTGCAAAATTCTGCTCTCAAGCTTCATCTGTGTTCAATGTCCAGACCTGCAGGTGAATATCCTTATCAGCCTTCCAACTCTCCTGCGCAGCTTCACCGGACCCCTTACTGGGGCATTTGAAGCCGGGCGAGCTTCAGAGGTATCTCCCCGTATTACGAGATAGATAAAGACAAACCTTGTGTTGATGCGACTGCCTTTTTTGAATCAGGATCCTTCACAAAGGTCAAGAGCGCAGGATACCTGCCCTCAGTGCTTTTGACATGGCCACCTGTAAGTCGACTTCCCAGTTCTCCGAAGACATCAAGGAGGCATGAGGCAAGGCAGCCTTGATGATGAGATTGGCCGTGATTGACTAACTAGTGTACAGACGAAACCGACCCGGAGATCGGCTTCGATCAGGACGACCCTAGGTACTGGCATGCCCTCCACGTCAACCTGCACCATGCAATCTTAGAAAAGGACATGGCCGAAGTCAAGCGCCTGTTGAGCTTGGGAGCCGACATCAATCTCAAAACTGAGCATGGCTACACTGCACTGGATTGGGCGGACCATCTGAAGAACTTGGAAGTCGCCAAGTGCCTTCTTCAGACCATGAACATAAAATTGCACGGATATGTCGAAATCCTCAAGTATATCCGTGCCAAACGCCCGATCATTGTGCGCGCTCTCCTGGAGATGGGGGTCACTGACATGCTCACCAAAAACAAGCGTTTCCACAGAGGTTTGATCCTGCAAGCTTGCCGGATCGGCCATCCGACTATACTCCAGATGCTGATCAACTGCATTCCCGGCTACATGATAACCGACTACAAGCAAGTGTACCTGCAAGTAGCGGCGTCTGAGCATAACGACGATGTCCTGGAAATACTGCGCGCGAGGGCTCGTCAGGAAGAGGCGTGGAGAAAGAACTACTTCAGGCCCAAGGTAAGTCTACCATGCAAACTCGACATGGGTTAGAAACCTTGAAGCTGACTGCAACAGACCTCTGTGACCCCGGTTCAGCTGCCGCCAAGAGACCTAGAGTACGAGAAGATCTTCGATGAGTACATCAACCCGGACGCGTATCTTCCCTGAGTCAGAATTGGAGTCCGTTGGCTTATTGACTTTGTTGGCTCTGTTGGCCTGCGATCGTGGCAGATGGTGGCATCTTTGTTTATCATAGCAATGATCGAAAACGTGACCATGCCTTATGCAGATATGACTAGCGATTGAATCGAAATCCGAGACATTGTATTTGCATTTTGCCTCTTGCCCTCGCATGAGGCTGCTAAGGTCGTAGTGTCTTCTATGAGGTTCTTTCCAGGGGACGTTTCGAACGTGAACACGAGGTGTCTTGGCGAACGAAAGTTTTCCCAAAACGGTCCCCGCCGTCGACTACCTAAAGCTTCATATGACTGTGGGCATTTTATTGGCGCAAATATGTTGTGGATTGTATTGAGTGGGTTATTGAGTGATATATAGATACAATCATACTTACTGACAGATATTGAAATTTCAATCGAATCAATCACCAAGTTGCATTCTTTAGAAGTCGAGCTGTGATCAACCAGCAACATATATATTTGAAACATCCTCAGGTTATCTATACACCACAGTCATGTCCGAGAACAAAAATCAGGATATCTCCACACTCGTCTCGCAGGAGCTCTCACAGACCCCCTACGAGTGCTCTTCTCTCACCCCGCTCAGCGGAGGAACGGCCAACTTCGTCTATCGAGGCATTCTAGCTAGGCCACTCCGGGATGGGACGAAAACGATTATCATCAAACACGGAGAGGACTTTGTTGCTTCGAAGCGAGACTTCAAGCTGACTACAGATCGCTGCGTAAGTTTACGAACAAAGACGCTACGGTACTTGTGTTGATCAAAGCCAAAGCTGTTCGAAGAGACTATCTTAAAAGCCTTGAATGACTTCCCCGCTACAACCGAGACGGACACCGACAATAATACCAGCTGCACAGTCAAGACCCCTCGCCTGGTTCAATTCAACCATGACACCAATACTCAGATCCACGAAGACCTGCCCGGAGCGCTGGACCTAAAATCTTTCATGCTCCTTCCCACGAACTCGCAAAATGTCTCTCGCGAACTGGCCGCGTCTATTGGCCGTGCGTTGGGAAAATGGCTGCTCTCTTTCCACACTTGGGCCTCGGAAGAGTCTCAGAAAGATCTGGTCAAGACGATGGAGAAGAATGAGGCCATGCGCGATATCAAGTTCATGATCAACTATGACAATCTCGTTAAGATGGTCGATCAGTTTCCAACTTTGCTCAAAGAAAGCCAGCATATCCTCGGCGAAGTCAGGGGCATGGCAGCGGCGGAGCTGAGCCGGAAAGATGGGAAGGAGTTTGGAGTAATTCACGGAGACTTTTGGTCAGGAAAGTAAGTTGATATATCTGTTTACCTGGAGCACGTTCGATGAGATTAATGAGACCAGTGTTTTAATACCAAGCACCGCATTGGATCAGCAAAATGATATTCCTCTCTTCGTGACGGACTGGGAATTATGCCACTGCGGTTCCCGAGCGCTCGATCTGGGCCAGATGGTGGCCGAGCTCTACCAGCTCAAGCATTTTAAGAACATCGACGCAGGAGTCTGGCTCATTGAAGGGCTGCTTGACGGCTACGGCCCGATGGATGAAGATATGGCTTTCCGCGTCGCCATTCATATCGGCGTTCACTTCATTTGCTTGGGCAGTACCGTTCCCGGCTGGGGAACCAATGATCAAGTTGAAGGGGTGGTCAAGCTTGGAAGAGATCTCGTGGTCAAGGGCTGGCAGAAGGATCGGAACTGGTTTGGGGAAGGTTGGCTGAAGTGCTTGTTCCCTGTGGCTTAGAACTGGAGCGATCAGAAAGAGAAACATATGAATGAGCATGTTCAACTCCAGCCAGAGGCGTCAACAGTGAAACGGTCCAGAACATGGGATCGCTGTAAACCAATCGGCAACTGTAAGCAACCTACTCTTAAGAGCAATCACGGAAATTCGACTCATACATCAGCAGTAGTCAACAGACAAAATGTGCAGCGATTGGCTAGCATGATAAACCGGCGCCTATACTTGTACTGTTCTACGGAGCGAGGTTTGGTCGCGGTTCTTTAACATGCAGCATTTCGAAGGTATGGGTGACTCGTTTGAACTTGTATTTGTACAGGTCGCGGATCACAAGTAGCGAGCATGCATTAAGAGGCGAAAAGGTCATTAAGATGTTCTAAACTAGAGCTTTGCACGGAAAACGCTCCGAATGGAATCTAGGCCAGAAGGCCCATCATAAATCTGTTGCTCGACGACTCGGGTATTGATCTAGTCAAGGTCAGTACCGGGCTGAAAGGAAACCCTCAACGTCCCGACGTCAGATCTGGAGATCGTGGGAAGATCAACTTACGTGCTGTGGTCCTAAATCCTCTACCCTTTCGACACCAAGCAGCCGCATGCAAGTCTTGGTTTCGTCGGCAAGGACTGGAAAAGATGTCAGCCTACCTGCTTCTGATTATCCTGAGGGTAGAACATACTCTGCAGTGTACGTTTAACACCATCGACGCCACCGGCTCCCAAGCCCCAAAGGGCAGGCCGTCCGATTCCTACAGCTTTGGCACCTAAACAAAGGGCCTTCACAACATCCGTGCCGCGCCGGATGCCACCATCTACCCAAACATCGAGCTTGTCGAAGACCTCAGGGCAGTATTTCCGGATCTCTAACAGAGTATGGACCGCAGGAGGAGCGGTGTCAAGAGCTCGGCCACCGTGATTCGATAGGATGATACCCTTCACTTGCGGAGTGTGAAGCGACGCAATGTAGGCGTCCTCATGTGTTTGGAGACCCTTGAGAACAATAGGCAAATCTGTGTGCTTAGCCAACCACGGTAAAGTATCCTTCCAAGTGAGAGTTGGGTCCGTTCCGGCAAATAATTGCTTTCCAACACCACCAGGTTGGCTCACATTCGGAGTACCATCCGCGGCTTTGTCTGCCGCTTTCGCAGCACTGGGAACGGGCATTGAAGCAGCAACGTTGTTGCCTCGCTCGTCGTCCTCTCGTTTACCAGGAACGGGAGCATCAAGGGTGAGAACGATGAACTTGATCGCCTTCAGCTTATTGATGCGTGCCAGCATCGCTTCGCTCTTCTTGCGGTCGATCTGAACATAGATTTGCCATCCGAAGACCTGATCCGGAGCCGCGTCCTTGACAATCTGCTCTGGTGTCATGGATGCATTGTTGGAGATGATTTGCATGGCTCCGAAGCTGCGGCACGCCTCTGCAATGCCTGCCTCACCTGCTGGGTGACCCAGGCGAGCCATAGCAGCAGGTGCCACATATATTGGCATTCCCAGCTTGTGTCCAAGAAAAGACGTATCCAAGTCGCATTTCGTGCAGTCGATAAACACTCTTGGTCGCAAAATGATGGATCTATAGACCTCGGTATTGAACCGCTTGGTGATTTTATCATCGGATGCGGAGTAATAGTAGGCCCAGGCCTTTTTGCTGACGTTCTTTGTGGCTACTTGCTCAATATCGTCCATGTTGAGGAGTGCTTCCATGGGGACCTGCCCTTTGCTCTCCTCGGCTACCGCTGGGGAAGGCTCTGCCTGTATCTTGGGTAACGTATCTGGGTTGACGGTTCCTAGCAATGCCTCAGGCTTGAGATTCTCCTCGAGGATGCCTGGAGGATGGATGGGATCGTATTCCTCAGTAGCATCTTTGCCGGCAAGCTTGAGAATGATCTTGGCACCACCAGGATGTTCCGAAAGAAAGTCTGTGACCTGGAGGTTGTGTCAATCAAAACGAACCAATCTCAATGAGAGGATAAATGCTGAAGGAGACATACATCGTACACTTTTCCGTACAAAATCACCCAACAACTGTCGGGGGTATTATGTTTCCCGACTGAGCATTACGATGAGATGGTTAGCCGTCATTTTCCAGCCAATTGACAGAACATCGACGAGGAACTCTCGATGGATGTCTAAGGTGTAATGTACCTTCTGCAGCGTCAAATACCTTCCCCATCTTGATGCTGTTGACGGAGTGCTAATCACAACTCCTGCGATTGCGTGAAGATCAAAAATATGGACAAAGGAGGAGAAATGGCCACGACAAGAAAAGGAAAAGACAAAGTCGGTGGAATTGTACCCGACAGGCTACCTAGTTAGCAGATATACATCTGTTGTCCGATGGTCCAAGTTATCAAAGCCACCATATTCGAATTTACGGGGTCCCCATCCAGTCGTTCGGACAAGATGCCGACGTGGGGGCGTGGGGGCAGCTCCATCAATCCCATCGAAAAAGAACAAGTCATTTGGCTGAAGAAGATTGGGGTAGAACCGGCGATTGCACATTACTGCATTGGGCAAAGTCGAAAGCCGACACTGGGGTTGGTGTTTGTCCTGTTTGTCGGCCGCTTTAGAGAAGGCCCTTGGATTATTGGTGGAGAAATGAGATGAGGACTACGTTGGAACTAAACAAAATAACAATGATAGGATCATAGGAGATTAAAGGCCAGTATGGTAGAAGAAGATACTTGTTCAGATTCGAAGAGTTACAAGATATGAACACATTCCATTGCTGAATTCGGATGGCAAGAATTCGTGTTGAGCTAGCCCTTAACAGGGAAGGGAACATATACTCTCTCTTCCATATGGGGCCGTCTTTGCTCGGGGGGATCCACGTGAGCTTCGAAGGTGACGTTTTCTCTTCACGGAAACTTCTGGAGTTCATTCAACCTACTCTCGGGACTCAACTTCCAGCTAAAATTGGAGTATCGTGTATCTTTAGAATAAGGCAAAGAGCTCGATAATAGGATTGGGCAGTCGAATAGCCCAGCTATTATCAACTCCGTTGTGGTTTGTCGCTCTACAGTTTGCTGTCCCTGTTTCACTGAAATTAGCGGGTTCATACAATCCAACCCTGCCTGACACGTCGCTATGTTCGAGGTACGTCCTGTGCATCCCTGGAATTAGCATACAATTTCCTTCACTTAGTTTGGCCATGTTCATAAGCATCGTTTGACTTTGTATTACGCCGCTGTCTTGTGCTATGATTCTGACGTGTACCAGCGTCGCGCAGCTGACCGCTATCGT